GACTTGGTGGTAGTTGAGGGAAGTTTCCAGGAAATGGAACATCTTTGTGACTTGGTGGTAGATTAGGAATTGAAGTATTCAGGAAGTGGAACATCTTGATGACTTGGTGGTGGATTAGGGAAGTGTCCAGGAAGTGGAACACCTTGATGACTTGGTGGTTAATTAGGGATTGAAGTATTCAGGAAGTGGAACATCTTGATGACTTGGTGGTAGATTAGGGAAGTGTCCAGGAAGTGGAACATCGTGGTGACTTGGTGGTTGATTGGGGAAGTGTCCAGGAAATGGAACATCTTGATGACTTGGTGGTAGATTAGGAAAGTGTCCAGGGAGTAGAACATCGTGGTGACTTGGTGGTTGATTGGGGAAGTGTCCAGGAAATGGAATATCTTGATGACTTTGTGGTTGATTAGGGAAGTGTCCAGGAAATGGAACATCTTGGTGACTTGGTGGTGGATTAGGGAAGTTTCCAGGAAATGGAACATCTTGATGACTTGGTGGTAGATTAGGGAAGTGTCCAGGAAATGGACCATCTTGATGACTTGGTGGTAGATTAGGGAAGTGTCCAGGAAATGGAACATCTTGATGACTTGCCGGCAGATTAGGGAAGTGTCCAGGAAATGGAACATCTTGATGACTTGGTGGTGGATTAGGGAAGTGTCCAGGAAATGGAACATCTTGGTGACTTGGTGGTAGATTAGGGAAGTGTCCAGGAAATGGAACATCTTGGTGACTTGGTGGTAGATTAGGGAAATGTCCAGGAAATGGAACATCTTGGTGACTTGGTGGCAGATTAGGGAAATGTCCAGGAAATGGAACATCTTGATGACTGGGTGGTAGATAAGGGAAGTGTCCAGGAAATGGAACATCTTGATGACTTGGTGGTTGATTAGGGAAGTGTCCAGGAAATGGAACATCTTGATGACTTGGTGGTGGATTAGTGAAGTGTCCAGGAAATGGACCATCCTGATGACATGGTGGTAGATTAGGGAAGTGTCCAGGAAATTGAACATCTTGATGACTTGGTGGTAGATTAGAGATGTGTCCAGGAAATGGAACATCTTGATGACTTGGTGGTCGATTAGGGAAGTTTCCAGGAAATGGAACATCTTGGTGACTTGGTGGTAGATTAGGGAAGTGTCCAGGAAATGGACCATCTTGATGACTTGGTGGTAGATTAGGGAAGTGTCCAGGACATTGAACATCTTGATGACTTGGTGGCAGATTAGGGAAGTGTCCAGGAAATGGAACATTTTGGTGACTTGGTTGCAGATTAGGGAAGTGTCCAGGAAATGGAACATCTTGGTGACTTGGTGGCAGATTAGGGAAATGTCCAGGAAATGGAACATCTTGGTGACTTGGTGGCAGATTAGGGAAGTGTCCAGGAAATGGAACATCTTGATGACTTGGTGGTAGATTAGGGAAGTGTCCAGGAAATGGAACATCTTGGTGACTTGGTTGCAGATTAGGGAAGTGTCCAGGAAATGGAACATCTTGGTGACTTGGTGGCAGATTAGGGAAATGTCCAGGAAATGGAACATCTTGATGACTTGGTGGTAGATTAGGGAAGTGTCCAGGAAATGGAACATCTTGGTGACTTGGTGGTAGATTAGGGAAGTGTCCAGGATATTGAACATCTTGGTGACTTGGTGGTAGATTAGGGAAGTGTCCAGGAAATGGAATATCTTGATGACTTGGTGGTAGATTAGGGAAGTGTCCAGGAAATGGAACATCTTGGTGACTTGGTGGTTGATTAGGGAAGTGTCCAGGAAATGGAACATCTTGATGACTTGGTGGTAGATTAGGGAAGTGTCCAGGAAATGGAATATCTTGATGACTTGGTGGTTGATTAGGGAAGTGTCCAGGAAGTGGAACATCTTGGTGACTTGGTGGTAGATTAGGGAAGTGTCCAGGACATTGATAATCTTGATGACTTGGTGGTAGATTAGGGAAGTGTCCAGGAAATGGAACATCTTGATGACTTGGTGGTGGATTAGGGAAGTTTCCAGGAAATGGAACATCTTGGTGACTTGGTGGTAGATTAGGGAAGTGTCCAGGAAATGGAACATCTTGATGACTTGGTGGTTGATTAGGGAAGTGTCCAGGAAATGGACGATCTTGATGACTTGGTTGCAGATTAGGGAAGTGTCCAGGAAATGGAACATCTTGGTGACTTGGTGGCAGATTAGGGAAGTATCCAGGAAATGGAACATCTTGATGACTTGGTGGCAGATTAGGGAAGTGTCCAGGAAATGGAACATCTTAATGACTTGGTGGTGGATTAGGGAAGTGTCCAGGGGGTGGAACATGTCGATGAAGTGAAGATGGACGACATTGAATCAAATTTCATTTGGGATTGTCAACAATATTCATTATCTTTGTGTTGTACACTTATTGACTTCGTTGTGGTTTTCGTTTATCTACTGAATGTCAAAATAATGTCACGGAACATGTCAGGTTGAACGGAAGATTGATCGTTGCTGACAAACACAGTGTGAACTCGACACATTCTCATTGATTGATGTTACGAATAAGAAAAACATTTAGTTCAACGTGGTGATATCTGAGATCACTGACAGGTAATCTGAACAGCACAATAGGATAAAAAGGTATAACTGTGTAATTATCGCTCATTAATCACTCTTCGTTATGTCAGTGTCCAAGGAAGAGGAACGATCGAAGTAAAAGTACAATATTACAGAAGTACAGAATAGTAGGGGATTTTTCAATAAATTCAGCTTCTTTTCTGTAATATTTTAAAGCTATACTCTTTTGTTTTACAACTGAATAATAGAACAGTACAGAACAGAGTTTAATTCAGAGACTTGGGTTCCTTGAAGCCCTCATCTACAGTTTTTAACTCCTCTCATGCAGGATTCTAGTATGATATCATAACAAATTTGTTCAAGACTTGATTATTTGAACGTTGTAACTTGAACCAGTACTTTGTACCTCTGACACATCTGTTGATGTATAATGGATATCTTCCCAGTTCCCCGGAGACAGCAGCATTTGTTGATTTTGAGTGGACTTTCAGAATTCGTTTTAAAACTTAAGATGGATACGTGAGGGGTTCAATTTCATTAGCGAATGTTGTTCCCTATACTTCACAGCCATAGTTCATGGTGTTTGAGTGAAAAGCGTCCAACAACTGACAGCAACTACTCATTAACGATATACAAAATGTACATAAAGAGAGTCCCAACACCCCATGCGTCCTTTTTGGATATGTTTCAATGTCTAATAAATTAATTTATAGCTAAGATCACAATGCTCATTCGTCGACTGCATTTTACTACTCTGATATTAGAAATTCAACTAATTGATATCCGGTCGAAAATAGGAACGAGTTCAATACCTTGTCTGACACCTACTTGTATCTCAAAGGTTTCTGATAATACATTTATATTTCTGACACAAGGTTTAACATTCTCATATATATACTCTTAAAAAATGTAGGGGAAGCTGAACTTTCAATTTCGATAGGAAATATAAGCGTTAACACACAAACATTTCTCTTTATCACCACCCTTAGACAAAACGCATGGGATGCACGTTCATAACGCAGTAGCCCCATACACGTGGGTAGGGTATCATTCTTGATTTTGACGGTTTTCAAGAAATAAATCCCTGTAGACCATTAATTTTGACAATCATCTTGCATCACACAGTTGTTAGTGTTTGTTTCCAGCTGTTTCTTTGTTTGAACATGAAAATCGTACACATGCACATTTCTCGTCATACACCAATAATCTTTCAAGAGCGATTACTGTACAAACAACCTTGATCATAAGGAAGTGGAGATGCACTCTCAAAACATTCATTATTATCATATCAACAATGATTGACTCCGACATATCTCCCAGGTTTTTTTTAATCGTAAATTAAAAAGAGATATCAAGAGAGAGATATCATTATTCATTTTAGGGTCATTTTAAGACCACTTGTGTTTAGAAAATTCCATAATTTCTTTCTTTCCACAGAGCCAAACGCTTTAGCAAAGTCAACAAATAAAGCATAACAGTTCCCCCCTTTAATATTAAGGTATCTCTGGGCGATACTTTGTGGAACAAGCATATTATCAATGGTTTTGTAACCTAGTATAAAACCTACCTGGCATTCAGTTAACTTATCCATTGTTTCTCCCGGAATACTAACTTCTTATTGATAATTGAAGTAATATTTTAACTGAAAATGCAGAGAAGTGTTATCCTTAGTTAATATTGATGTTGCTTAAATCACAAGTTCTGTGAAAAGGAAAGTTACCTTTTTCAAGTATCAGGTTTAAGTGTACATGATGCCATGGGTTGGTAGTAGTTGGGCACAGTCGTGTGAGGCGCCGCCATTCGCTTTACAGAAGTACGTGAGGCGTCCCTTGGGCAACGCCAGAAACCTATGATTGTGGGTTCCTCGCCACTACTACTACTGCCGCTACTACTACTATTACTACTACTGCCGCTACTACTACTACTACTACTAATGCTGCCGCTACTACTACTACTAATACTACTACTGCTGCTACTGCTGCTACTACTACTACTACTACTACTACTACTACTGCTACTACTACTACTACTACTACTACTACAAATTTATATTGCGCTATATTTTGACATGACGCAGGGCGTTCTCCATATTATACGTTGTTATTACTCTAGTCAACAGATCAGCTCCCCTGGGAGTATACAAATCACGGTTTCTGAGAAATGCCACAACATTCAAAGTCACATTTCCATCTCATACTACCGGGCACCCAGCCACTGATGGGTGTACACGGGCATTTCCCGAACAGTCACTCGAGCAAGGAGACAAGTGTGCCTCGGTGTGGGATTGGATCATACATCAAGAAACTCCCAGGGGTCTCTAGGTTTCTTTTTGAGAGAAATGAGTAAGTTATGCGTATTTTAAATGATTACATGTTATTGTTGCTGCTATACACTGACTTCATAGGAATTTGGCTAAATTACAGACATCCTGCTGACATCGATCTGTTCACCGGTGGCATGTCAGAGCGACCCCTCCCAGGAGGTTTGGTGGGACCCACGTTTAGCTGTCTTCTCGCCCATCAGTTCTCCGCCATCAAGAAAGGGGACAGGTTCTGGTTTGAACTCGATCGTCCTCATACTCGCTTTTCTCCTGGTGAGAGAAAACATGGCTTCAATATTTTGTCTGAGAGTCCCTCGTGCTATCCTACCTCATATACCCCTTACGACGTAAACTGTAATAAAAACGCAAATTGTAATACTTGCAGCAAATTGTAATAAACCTGACGTAAATTGTAATAAAAACGTAAATTGTAATAAAAATTGACGTAAATTGTAATACGCAAATTGTAATAAAAATTGACGTAAATTGTGATAATTTTCGTTGCGGTAAAATGTAATAAATATTTACGTAAATTGTAATAACAGATTTAATCACTCGTAAATACGCAGGTGTTTGTTTTTCGTTGCATTTCATACATCAAATAAGCTTGTTAGGGCGATAACTCAAGAAAGAAAAGATGGATATGGTTCAAATTTGGTACCAAGGTATATTGGCGAGATTCACCGACACAAGTGAAATGGAGTGACCTTGAGATAATTTTCAAGGTCACAGCCAAAATCTGAGGGTTTTGACAATATAAAGATTGTTAGCGCGATAACCCAAGAATGAATTGACAAATATTAGCTAAATGACGAAAATGATATTCGTCCTGATATATAATCGATATAAACTGTCCTCTGTATCATGTTTTTTCGCAAATATGTTTTGAGGTTTTGATATGTATAAATATAAAGTGGGGGTGGGATAGGGTGGGTTTTAACGGGTATATCTAACACACTTGCATACATGTAGAGTCGGAGAGGTGGGTGGGTGTTCTAACGGGTATAACTACGAGGGACGTTCAAATAGTAGTCAGCCTCACCTAGAATATGATACAAATGCAGCTGTTTTTATGTTTTATTTTTCTACATATTATCTGTCAGCCTTAAGCAAATTGGTTTTGCTATGTTGCAGCCTCACGATCCCCATTTTGTGAGACTTTGTATATTGGCTTGGTACTCCCCAAAAAACGTAAGATCTGCAATAAAATGCATCACAAACTTCAGGAAACAAAATATGCTATGTTTGAGATTGGTAGAAGTCGGCTTGAATCAAACTTAGATATTAAACTGCACAAAAAAGCAGTTTCAAAACTACAATCGCTTGTTCAAATGACTTCCCATTCTGTTTACTGAAAGAACTCGAGAAAGAAATGAAGGATTTTGTTCAAATTTGGTACCAAGGTTTATTGACTGTAGATTGGAGATTTACCGACACCACTTGAATTTAGTGACCTTGAGGTCATTTTAGAGGTAACAGCGAAGGTGTAACAGTTTTGCACATGCCAAACTTGGTAGCCGCGAACTCAGGAAAGTATTAATAGATTTTGATCCAATTTTGTATCAAGGTGTATTGGCGGGAATCCCCCTACACCAATTGATTGGGAAACTTGTGCTCATTTTAAGTTCATAGTGAAAAGAGTTTTGTACATGTCTAACTTTTTAGTGCGAAAATACAAGACAGAATTAATATGTTTTGCTTAAAGGTAGTACCAAGATGCGTTGGGAGTATCATCTAACGCCAGTCGAATTCAGTGACCTTCGGATTATTTTCAAGGTCACAGCGAGTATTCTTGCGATATCTCCAAACCTAATGGATGGAATTTGTTCGCATTTTGTATCAAGGCATCAGATGATAGTTTCGGTAACGTTTACATAATTTTCAGGGTCAGACAGAGGATAATTGCGACATTCAGATATCGACATGTGGCGGGGGTAATAGCTATGTTTGTGACAAACGCTTTGTCATTACTAATTTTCAAATTTTTGTTAGCATATGGTTTCTATAATTTCATGTTAATTCTACCAGCTGTGAAATTATTCGTGACACGTTTTAAAAAAGCCAGAGATTATTTGTGTATGTTTCGAAAATTAAAGTTAATTGTTTTTCATTATGAAGTTATTTTCGATGTTGACGCAAGGACATATTTTACGAGCAATAACTTTCAATAATTTAATGTTATTTCTATTACATTTTGAAGTTCTTCATAGCATATCCCAAAATAACAGGATATTGTTTGTTTACGCTTTGAAATGTACGTTTCTTCTTCTTCATTTTCGAACTATTTTCAGTGTTGACGCAAGGATATATTTGAAGTCAATTTAATGTTTTGATCATATGTGATTTATTATGATTTATGTTTAGATCATACATGCATATATTGCGTTGTCATAGTTTAACCTGGTTCATAATATTTTTTCATCATATTACTACATATTATTGTATTTTTATGAGAGGGAATTTTAAGTTACATTTGCTAAGGATATCATAACTCGCTGGCGCCTGGTTATTCCTTGCCAAATAGCAGTCAATCTGTCTACTCATTTGTTGTATTTGATTGATGCATTTAAAATAAAATGTAGAAATGATATTGAATTGCATCATTTGCTTCAAGGAATCGATCAGATGTGCTCGTTATCAAAGTAAAGTCAAAACTTCTTTCTGTAAGGTATACAGTGGAAGTTGACACCTCAATTGTTATGGGTAGACCAAAGAAATCATTTATTTAGTTTCACCGCTCAAAATACAACAAAGAATTCAACGGGTGGCATTAACCTCAAAGAATGATAATAACAATGCTTATAACATACGAGGGCAAACATATCGGGGATAATTTGTTTTCATGCGATATGCACCGGGTAAAATATCACTTTATCATGGTGACATGGCATCATGAACAATGTTATGACGTCACGTTGCTTCTAAGAAGCTGCCTTCTAAATACAACGATGACGGGGAGCCTGCCTTTGTTGGAAAGTAGATTATCGCGTAATTTCCGCAATTAAAGACTTCGGTAATAAATAGAAAATTATATTCGTGAGCATAATATGCTAGGTTAACGCCCTAAATATCGGCATATCCCTTCTCTGGTTCCGAAAATACCAAGATTTAAGCAGTTGTGTTGTAAACTGATATTTATCTTCTATAAAGTCGGCTATATTCAAACCATGAGAAATGTCGTCAAATAATGTCTGATGACAGTTACCAACGTCCCAATAGTGTCCATATATTTTAGAAATCTATAACAATATTTAAACCACAACCTCACTACTTTTTTTGATAAATGACAAAGGATTAATCAACCATATTAAAAGGTTTTCAGGCTTGAAGGACGAAGCTCATTAAAATCTATTGCCAGCTCCCTTTTAGAGACTGATAAAAGGTTCGAAAATGTGGGTCATAAATGCATGAAAGGTTTTATTGTTGTTCATACCCGTTAGGCCTCCCGCCTCTACATGTATTTGAGATATAACCGTTAGAACCACCACCACCCCCTCTATGTCTTAAAGTATGCTAGATATAACCGTTAGAACACACCACACCACTTTTCTGCCCATTTATTCAATTGGCTAAATCATAGTTGAGAGTTGCTTCTATGGATTGTACATATTTTCCCGCAACACCGATTGATGTGTCATCGGCTAACATTATTGTGATATTTTGTAAATTTCCAGGTAAATCATTGATATATACAGGGAACACAAATTAACCAAGGGCAAATCCTTGAGGAACCCCTGCAGTAACATTTAGTTTTTCATAATGTTCCATTAACAGAGACACACTGTCGTCTATCAGGGCCCGGTTGTTCAAAACTCGGTTATCTTTTAACCAGCCGTTAAGTACATTTAACCGACTGTTACCTAATAACAGAGGGTTATCTTGTTGTTCAAAACTCTGTTAACTTTTAACAGGCTGTTAACGTGACGTTAAGTTAACACACCTAAGGACCGCCGCTAACTGGTTAACTCGCAAATGGCGTTCATGGCTAACACTGCTTTCATGATGCCAGTTCAGCAAAGAAAGAATAGGGTGTATCGTGGACTGGACTTCGATATTGGAAATTATCTGACGAAGAGTTACATACGAAACTGTATCTATGCACATCATAGGAACTAAAATACATGTTGTACAAGTACATGATGCCTACGTTTCATCTTTTAACACTTGTGTAAAGGTTTATATATGCTTTACTACACTAAATATGTGAATTTCTTCTGTAAATATTATTCAAACAAACACTTTCAAAGAATATAACACGTACACCCTATACCCACGTATGGTATGATATTGAACAAGGCTACATGTAGATAATTAAATTAGTTTCATGAAAAAATATCCGAACGATTACATTATGATACTGAAAGTGTAATTGGCGATTACTACCGTTGTCGTTCTGCGTGATTTTGCGTCAGTCATGGCGTCAGGCACGACAGAAACTTGACAGTTTCGTGTAAACACATCACATTCCTGTATTGTATCTATTTTAAATTTCCTATTTCTTGCTACTATGCTCTTTCCATGCAAATGGGTGTCTGAAAATTTGAGAAAATGCTACACAGTGTAAAGTCTGAAATTTTCTTTGTTTACATTTCAGACTGGTGTTGTCTTTCGAACACAGCAGTTGTTTACACCCCGAATATCTTTCGTTTCACTTTATCTAGACACTTGGTATTGGTGCCAAAAAGACCAGTTGTAATTAGATTCTAAAATGTATGAGGAATTCAGTAGGGCTGGGACAAGTAGGAAACAATGGAATCGAGTACCCGCATGTACGTACCCGAATCGGAATCGAGTACCCGGAAATGTAAGAAATACATTCTGGTCAACTTTCTGAATATTCAATCACGATTTGACAGAGATTATTGTAGAAAACTTGAACAGTTGGTAATAAGACATTAAAACTGACCTCAAGCTATTTAATTTACGTCTGTTTAACCAATATAGAGAGTAACACCATTACTTACATTCCTCGTTATAACAACGAACGTTTTGTTCCTGCTGCTACTGTAACTTAACTACTCAATGCTCATGCACAGATAAATTACAGTCATTAAAACTATGCTCCATTAATCGGACAATACCAAAGATGTAAAAACCCGTGAATTTCCGGGTTAGAATATGGATCTTCAGTAACCCATGCTTGTCGTAAGAAGCGACTAACGGGATCGGGTGGTCAGACTCCCTGACTTGGTTGACATATGTCATCGGTTCCCAATTGCGCACATCGAGTGCGGCGTAAAACTAAACTCACTCACTCACTCACTTAATGATGT